CTTCCTAAGTGTGTTTTGGTTATTGTTTCTCAGTTTTGTTGGTTAGGGCTAATACTCAGGGTTTCCTCCCTCAAGTTATTTGGAACCCTAAGTCATGTTTCTTCTCACAATATTAGAATGACCTCTTCTACTTGAATTAATTCCTCCTTATTTGCTACCCCTATCATTATGTCTGCAAAAATCAATTGGAAAAATTATTTATCACGGTCTTCTACTGTGGAATTTTGATTTCTTGATCAAGGACACTATAATCACCTTGAACAAGATGTTTCTATGGTCCCAGTTGAAGAAAAATCTCGATGACATAAACTAGACTTTCAGTTATGTGTTGTTTTATGGAAATCGGTCGAGCAAGAGGTTCTAAATATCTTAAAACCCTATAAGACATGCTCCTCTTTTTGGAAAAGGGCAAAAGATATTTTTGCTAATGATGTACAATGTCTTTTCGATGCAACCTAAAGAGTAGGTTCTCTCAAACAAGTCAACCATGATATGATTTACCATATAGCAAAAGTTAGGGTTGCGGCAGAAGAGTTAAAGAACTTCTTTGTAGTTGATTCATTAGAAAGTATCAACAAAAAGCTTGACAAGCATTACATGGTCCTAATTCTTAAAAGTTCACACTCAAATTTTGATCATGTACATGATCAAGTTTTAACTCCCATCGATGGATGGCTTAGTTACTAGACTTCTTCCGATACCTACATTGGTAAAAGACGAGAATTTAAGTGATATTATTGAAACATCAGCAATAATGGCACCACGAGGAAGAGGGGGAGGTATGATCAACTGAGGGGGATGTGGTGGTCGAAGTGGACATCCTCAACGTGTAAGAGAATGGTTCATACCTAAGATAAATGTTATTCCTTGCATGGCTTTCCAGACAAAGCCGCTCATGTGTCTAAATCTGATAATTCAGAATTTAGAATTTTTTATGAAGAGTACCGAGAGTTTTTGAGCTATAAGTCTGAATCTTGGTCAACTCTCCTCAATGACAAATGTGTCAACTGTCTGCATCTCTCAATTTGTGAAAGGTTACAGTCCATGGATTCTTGTCTCAGGTGCCTCAAATTATATCTATGGTAACATTCTTTCATTTTCTTCCATGTCCTCTCCGAAAATTCCTCATTTCATTACCGTTGTTAATGGATCCAAAGTGAAATCTCGAGGAATGGGCAAAGTTTCCTTATCTCTTTCACTAAATTTGAATTTTGTTTTGTATATTCTTCATTGTCCTTACAATTTAATCTCTTTGAGTCAATTGACTTGTTCCTTAAATTGTTCTGTAATCTTTTTTGCTAATTTCTTTATTATACACAAACATAGTACGAGTTGTCTTATTTGAGAACACGAGTCATGAGGACTTTATTTCTTAAAACCTAACTCCTTAGTTTCTTGTTTCGCAACTTCATCCCCAAATTTTTTGCATGATTGGTTGGGCCACCCAAGCTTATCCAAGTTTAAAATGATGGTTTCAAGTCTCAAATACATTCAAGTCTTACATTGTGAGTCTTGTCAGTTATAAAAACATGTTAGATATTCCTATCTTAAAAAGTCTAAGACATGATGTAATTTTTTCTTTATAACTATTCACTCTAATATTTGGGGACCAAGTCACGTTACTTCTTTTGGTTTTAATTATTTTGTAACCTTCATTAATGAATTCTTTCAATGTACTTGTGTGTATTTAATGAAAGTGAGATATGAACTTTTGGCTATATTTGTGTCCTTTTTTAATGAAATTAAGAACGAACTTGGGAAGACAATTAAAATCTTCAAAAGTGATAATACTAAGGAATATTTTTCTGCATCATTTTCTTCATTCTTATCTTCCCAAGGAATTTTACACTAGTCAACATGTCCAAACACTTCAAAACAAAAATGACATTGCAGATAGAAAGAATAGACATCTCATTGAAATTGCATGTTGCCTAGTGTTGAATACTAATGCTCTTATTCATCATTGGGGTGATGCAATCCTCATTACCTATTTTCTGATCAATAAGATGTCTTCTTTCTCTTTTGAGAATAAAGTCCCTCACTCTATCATTTTTCCAAATGACCCTTTATACCATATCTTTTCCTCGTATATTTGGGTATACTTGTTTTGTTCATAATGTTTCTCCAAGTCTTGATAAACTCTCTGCAAAAGCTATTAAGTGTGTCTTTTTGGGATACTCTCGCCTTTAGAAAGGGTCAAATGTTATTCTCCCTCAATCGAGAGGTATTATATGCCTGTTGATGTCACATTATTTAAGGATACACCTTTTTTCTTTTCCTCCATGGGGATCATTCATGTGTTCAACAAATGTTTCCTCTACCATTATGTGATCCCTTAGTTACTCCTGCTTTTTTACCTTAAACTCAAAATGTAAATGACATTGTTCCTCCACCTTTTTTCACATATCATTGTCAGATACAATCTCAAACTCAGAACACTGAAGATCCTCGAGAATCAGATCCTCCTCCATCAGATTCTCATACCATGGATCCTTCATCCTCCTTACCCTCTCTTGACCTGGATAGTAATTGGCTTATTTCCCTTTGGAAAGGTATTCACTCTACTCGTAATCCTTATCCTATTTATAATTTTTAGAGTTATCATCATTTGTCTCCTCCATATTTTTCCTTTATTTCCTCCTTATCTTCCATTAAGGTTCCTAATAATGTTCATGAGGCACTTAGTCATCTTAGATGGCGACAAGCTATGATTGATGAAATGTAGACACTTGAACACAATGACACTTGAGACATTGTTCCTCTTCCTCCTGGTAAGATGTCTGTTGGTTATAGATGGGCCTATGCTATTAAGTTTGATCCTACTGGTGCAATCGATCGTCTAGTAGCTAAGGGTATACTCAAGTCTATGACCTCGACTATTGTGATACCTTTTCTCCTATGGCTAAAACTAATATTGTTCGTATTTTGCTTGCTATGATTGTCATTCGTCAATGACCCTTTTAGCAGTTGGACATTAAAAATGCATTTCTTCATGGTGATCTAGAAGAAGAGATATACATGGAGCAACCTTCTAGGTTTGTTGCTTAAGGGGGGTATGAGTTAGTTTGTAAATTACATTGTTCCATCTATGGTTTGAAGCAACCACCTCGAGCTTGGTTTGGTAAATTTAATTGGGTTGTGCAGAATTTTGGATTAAAACGATGTGAGGTGGATCATTCAATAATTTATGGTCACTCTTCTCCTAATAAATGTGTTTATCTTATGGTTTATGTTGATAATAATGTCATTACAGGAAATGACGTCACTAGAATTGCTCAACTAAAGAATAATTTGTTCAACCACTTTCAGAACAAAGATCTGTGTTGGCTAAAATATTTTTTTAGTATTGAAGTGAGACAATCAAAAGAATGTGTCATCATTTCACAAAGAAAAGTATGCTTTCAATATTTTGGAGGAAACAAGCCTAATAAATTGCAAGCCCATTGATAGTCATATGGACTCAAATAAAAAGTTAATGAGAGACCAATGTGAACTTTTCACAAACTTAGATAGATATAGAAGGCTGATTGGAATACTCATCTGTCTTACCATAACAATACCTGATCTTTCTTATCCGGTGGGAGTTATGAGTCAATTTATGCAAAATCTACATGTTGATCATTGGAATGTAGTTATTCGCATTCTCATATGTAAAAGGGAACCCATGATAGGGATTGTTGTATGAGGACAAGGGAAGCACTCAAGTGGAAGGATATTGTGATGCATATTGGGTTGATTGTCCAATTGATAGAAGATCTACCATAGGATATTGTGTATTACTTGGAAGGAACCTTGTATCTTGGAAAAGTAAGAAACAAAATGTTGTTGTTTGATCTAGTGTTGAAGTTGAATATCAATCCATGACTACATGCTAACTTGTGAGGATTAGACAACTCCTTCAAGAATTGAAATTTTGTGAAAATAAGCAGATGAAGTTATTTTGTGATAATCAAGTCGCCCTTCACATTGCCTCTAATCAAATGTTTCATGAAAAAACAAAACACATAGAAATTGATTATCATTTTATTAGAGAGAAGTTGTTATCAAATGATATTGTTACTAAGTTTGTCATTTTAATTCATTTATTATTAAAAGCTATTGAATATTTATCAAACAAAATCACTTCTTATTTATCAAACAAAATATTGTTTAAATCTTAATCACTTAAAGATAAAACACCAAATATTCTTTGAATTGTACTTACTCGTGGTTAAACAATCATATCACAAGCATTGTGATATAAAAGGCCATAGGCTTACTAACCAAAAGAAAAGACAATGTCCTTCAACAAATATAAATATAATTTACCCTTCTATATAACTTATGAATACAAGAGTGTTATTTCTAAAAAAACTAGGGTTAAATGAATTTCTCATCAAGAACACAAGAATCACTAATTTCATCAACTTTTCTTTTTCAAAAGTATCTAGAAGATAAGAAGAAAGAATCATTGATAGTCTTTTTCTAATCATTATAAGACGTTAGAGAAGTACTTTTTCAGGTTATGATTATCCAAGTTTAAACTTAAAAATACATTATATGGTCTTATAATTCGCGTGCAAAACGCAATGCCTTCTCTCTATCATCTATCCAAGATTGGCATACAAAATACTATGCCTTTGTAAATTAAATGAAACATTCACATATATTTAAAAATGATATATTATACTTTATTATAAAACCAAAAAAAAAAAATAGAAATATATTGGACTTTATTCTAACAATCTTAAAAGTTAAGTATATCATTTTTTATTTTGTATATAGAAACACATTATCAATAACAATATAAGATAATAGTTAACAAAATTAATAGATAGAAACTCTTGCAAAAGTATAAATTTTTTAGATACTTACTAAAATGAAAATTTAAACTTAGTTAAAATCTTTCAAATTTAAAATGAATTTAAAACTTATTAACCCGCAGTAATAGTTAGATAAAATCTCCTCAACAAAGACTTAATATTCAAAACCTTAGACAATTCAGATATAATTCATTTAAATAATATTCAAACCCATTTTGACTAATCATTAGCTATTTCGAAGTCCATACATACGCAAATGGCAAAATTGAAAGACTATAAAATCTAATATTTAAAAAGTGAAGTCAAGAAGTTCTTTTTTTGTCAAAGTATAAAATAAATCAACCTAACTGCCTCCTTCTGTAGGCATATTCCCTTTACGTGACCTTTTCCTTTTCCTACTTCTCTTCGGTGCATTGTCTCCTTTAGCTTCCTGCAAAAAAAAAAGCAACGTGTAACAAAATGTGGAAAAAAAATTTCAAAAAAGTATAGCATAAATTATATGATTTTAATCTGAATGACTGATACATCAACATAAACTAAACTCATCCAATGATTTACATAAAAGTTGAAACAATTAACTCCAAGATTTCCAAGCCAAGTGTATGTGCTCACATTAAAAAATAAATAGAAATTGCAACCCCTACCTTCGAAAGATCAATGTTTTGGCTTTTACTTTTCTTCTTGCACGAAAGTGGGTTTGGACCCTGCAAAGTTTAAAAGCACTGTTACCAAACTACAAGAATACTAAATGGAAATCATAAACTGTTAGAAGTAATATAGTATAAGAATCTTTCCCAGTAATTAACGTAAATACTTTGGTCATCAATCTTTCCTAAAACAATGTCGCCAACATTTCCTGTTAAGGAATGCCTGCATATTGTCAAACTTTCCATAAATAACCTTAATGCATGAAAATACTTTGTTTTCCATTGCAAGAAATATGTCATGAAGATGACAGGCCCAATATACATGATAAAACACAATTGAAAATGCCTCACAATACTTTGTTTTCCATTGACAAGAAATAGGCCATGAAGGTGACACGCCTAATATACATGATAAAACCACATAATTGCACACAACGGAAATAATACATTGACCATATGTTTTCTTAGGACCGTGTGATTAGGCTTTTTTTTTTTTTAAATGAAAAAAATAAGAAAAAAGATAAAGCACAAGCTTAAATTATAACCTTAGCTTTTTCTCTCTTGAACTGAGGTTTATCCTTGATTTCCATCCGATTCTTTGTAGCAGTACTACTTTTAACTGCCTGAATATTTGTGGTCTGATATCCTGAATCTACATTTTCCATTATTTCAGTAATCGAATTGTTAGCTTCCTCGTCCGTCAGTCTATTCATCACCTTATGCTTCAATATCTTGTACTCTTTCTCAGTCATATGCAACCGTCCTTCTTCAGAAGTTTTGACATACTGTCGTTGAAATGCAGATGGGGATTCAAGAAAAAGAGCATTTCTGAGACCATATATGAGAGGCACACCAGGTACCTGATACAAGTATTTAAAAAGAATAATATGTAAGAAGGTACAATTCTGCACATCTTGCAGCATTTAAAAGCATTATAGCACTTCAACAGATTTTAGACAAAAATATGCACAAGTTTTCTATTTTTTCTTTTGGTGAGAATATCACAGCAAAGAGGTGCATAAAAATAATGATAATATATCATTTATAAGAAAATTAGGAACCAAATGAAACACATTAAAACTTAGAAATAAAAAAAAATTATAGATGCCAAGGCATCAAGATGTTAAAGAAAATTCTATTCAACCGTTCTAATTAGAGACAACTATTCCAAATGGCTAAATCCGCAACCTCAGTACGAAGATGCTTCAGGCAAGGTGATGCAACACAGGGTATTGATTGAACGAGATTAGAAATGCGAGAGAGATAATAGTAAATGAGGTATTCATTGAGTCTGTGTCAAGAAGTATAAAAAATAAGTACCGGGATAAGGCAGACACTCTAGACAAGACAGTATCTTGTTTTACACACTTCAAATATCAACTATTTTCAAATAGTGTCACAATCTTGGATTTAAAGTAGTTCCACCTTCAAATTGGTTGTTTGGATAACTTCAAGATTATGTAAATGTCAACTAAACACTAAGCTCATCAAATGACCAATATTCCATATTCGGTAACATTATATTGTTGTTCAATTCAAATCCACCTCATTCCCACAAACCAAGATTTTCACACAAAGTTTTTCTCAGATAATGAGCCCGCTACAAAAAATCTAATACCAAGATAAATGTATTTTAAGTCCAATAGGAGAGATAATTATGATTGGATATTATACAAAAAATAATTCAACATTTATATAAAAATATTACCATGATTACAAAGACAATACTAAAATGAAAAACGTATCTAATAATTGGAATCAACTTTTCAAACAAATAATATATGATGCAAACCTCTTGCAACTTTTTCCGGAGTTCAGTGTCCTGACTAGCAACAAAGAAATGTTCAGAATTGTTTTCTCCAACAACCTCCTTGATGCATACATCTGCACTCACACATTTATCATGCTCACATCTGCAAATTGGTTGGAGTCAAACATTTCAACAGACAAACCAGCAGTCAAAGTATTAAAATAACATCAAGTGCTCATCCTAACAAGTTTAGGATGAATTTAAAATATAAAAAAAAAAATACAGTGGTCAGAGAGTACAATTAATAATACTCTAACTATTATTCTGTATTGAAATTTTCATAAAAGCACCACATCCGTTATTTTTCTCGTGGACTCAAGTTCAAAGTAGAGTCAACGTCACTTTGACACTTCACAGAGTAGGGTCAACGTCCAAAGTCTCAGTTGTTTTAAAGAATGACCCTCCAACCTGCACTACATAAATTTTTCTTATAGAGTAGTGAGTTGGCTCATTTGGCCAGTTGGTTGTGGGCTCAAATCCAACCACAACCTCTTTACCTATGCTAGGGAAAGGCTGCATACAATTACCCTCTGACATTAGGGTACTTAAGTTAGTTAATTAGGTATGGAAGGGGGAGAGATAAGGANCTTGAACACAATGACACTTGAGACATTGTTCCTCTTCCTCCTGGTAAGATGTCTGTTGGTTATAGATGGGCCTATGCTATTAAGTTTGATCCTACTGGTGCAATCGATCGTCTAGTAGCTAAGGGTATACTCAAGTCTATGACCTCGACTATTGTGATACCTTTTCTCCTATGGCTAAAACTAATATTGTTCGTATTTTGCTTGCTATGATTGTCATTCGTCAATGACCCTTTTAGCAGTTGGACATTAAAAATGCATTTCTTCATGGTGATCTAGAAGAAGAGATATACATGGAGCAACCTTCTAGGTTTGTTGCTTAAGGGGGGTATGAGTTAGTTTGTAAATTACATTGTTCCATCTATGGTTTGAAGCAACCACCTCAAGCTTGGTTTGGTAAATTTAATTGGGTTGTGCAGAATTTTGGATTAAAACGATGTGAGGTGGATCATTCAATAATTTATGGTCACTCTTCTCCTAATAAATGTGTTTATCTTATGGTTTATGTTGATAATAATGTCATTACAGGAAATGACGTCACTAGAATTGCTCAACTAAAGAATAATTTGTTCAACCACTTTCAGAACAAAGATCTGTGTTGGCTAAAATATTTTTTTAGTATTGAAGTGAGACAATCAAAAGAATGTGTCATCATTTCACAAAGAAAAGTATGCTTTCAATATTTTGGAGGAAACAAGCCTAATAAATTGCAAGCCCATTGATAGTCATATGGACTCAAATAAAAAGTTAATGAGAGACCAATGTGAACTTTTCACAAACTTAGATAGATATAGAAGGCTGATTGGAATACTCATCTATCTTACCATAAAAATACCTGATCTTTCTTATCCGGTGGGAGTTATGAGTCAATTTATGCAAAATCTACATGTTGATCATTGGAATGTAGTTATTCGCATTCTCATATGTAAAAGGGAACCCATGATAGGGATTGTTGTATGAGGACAAGGGAAGCACTCAAGTGGAAGGATATTGTGATGCATATTGGGTTGATTGTCCAATTGATAGAAGATCTACCATAGGATATTGTGTATTACTTGGAAGGAACCTTGTATCTTGGAAAAGTAAGAAACAAAATGTTGTTGTTTGATCTAGTGTTGAAGTTGAATATCAATCCATGACTACATGCTAACTTGTGAGGATTAGACAACTCCTTCAAGAATTGAAATTTTGTGAAAATAAGCAGATGAAGTTATTTTGTGATAATCAAGTCGCCCTTCACATTGCCTCTAATCAAATGTTTTATGAAAAAACAAAACACATAGAAATTGATTATCATTTTATTAGAGAGAAGTTGTTATCAAATGATATTGTTACTAAGTTTGTCATTTTAATTCATTTATTATTAAAAGCTATTGAATATTTATCAAACAAAATCACTTCTTATTTATCAAACAAAATATTGTTTAAATCTTAATCACTTAAAGATAAAACACCAAATATTCTTTGAATTGTACTTACTCGTGGTTAAACAATCATATCACAAGCATTGTGATATAAAAGGCCATAGGCTTACTAACCAAAAGAAAAGACAATGTCCTTCAACAAATATAAATATAATTTACCCTTCTATATAACTTATGAATACAAGAGTGTTATTTCTAAAAAAACTAGGGTTAAATGAATTTCTCATCAAGAACACAAGAATCACTAATTTCATCAACTTTTCTTTTTCAAAAGTATCTAGAAGATAAGAAGAAAGAATCATTGATAGTCTTTTTCTAATCATTATAAGACGTTAGAGAAGTACTTTTTCAGGTTATGATTATCCAAGTTTAAACTTAAAAATACATTATATGGTCTTATAATTCGCGTGCAAAACGCAATGCCTTCTCTCTATCATCTATCCAAGATTGGCATACAAAATACTATGCCTTTGTAAATTAAATGAAACATTCACATATATTTAAAAATGATATATTATACTTTATTATAAAACCAAAAAAAAAAAATTGAATTATATTGGACTTTATTCTAACAATCTTAAAAGTTAAGTATATCATTTTTTATTTTGTATATAGAAACACATTATTAATAACAATATAAGATAATAGTTAACAAAATTAATAGATAGAAACTCTTGCAAAAGTATAAATTTTTTAGATACTTACTAAAATGAAAATTTAAACTTAGTTAAAATCTTTCAAATTTAAAATGAATTTAAAACTTATTAACCCGCAGTAATAGTTAGATAAAATCTCCTCAACAAAGACTTAATATTCAAAACCTTAGACAATTCAGATATAATTCATTTAAATAATATTCAAACCCATTTTGACTAATCATTAGCTATTTCGAAGTCCATACATACGCAAATGGCAAAATTGAAAGACTATAAAATCTAATATTTAAAAAGTGAAGTCAAGAAGTTCTTTTTTTGTCAAAGTATAAAATAAATCAACCTAACTGCCTCCTTCTGTAGGCATATTCCCTTTACGTGACCTTTTCCTTTTCCTACTTCTCTTCGGTGCATTGTCTCCTTTAGCTTCCTGCAAAAAAAAAAGCAACGTGTAACAAAATGTGGAAAAAAAATTTCAAAAAAGTATAGCATAAATTATATGATTTTAATCTGAATGACTGATACATCAACATAAACTAAACTCATCCAATGATTTACATAAAAGTTGAAACAATTAACTCCAAGATTTCCAAGCCAAGTGTATGTGCTCACATTAAAAAATAAATAGAAATTGCAACCCCTACCTTCGAAAGATCAATGTTTTGGCTTTTACTTTTCTTCTTGCACGAAAGTGGGTTTGGACCCTGCAAAGTTTAAAAGCACTGTTACCAAACTACAAGAATACTAAATGGAAATCATAAACTGTTAGAAGTAATATAGTATAAGAATCTTTCCCAGTAATTAACGTAAATACTTTGGTCATCAATCTTTCCTAAAACAATGTCGCCAACATTTCCTGTTAAGGAATGCCTGCATATTGTCAAACTTTCCATAAATAACCTTAATGCATGAAAATACTTTGTTTTCCATTGCAAGAAATATGTCATGAAGATGACAGGCCCAATATACATGATAAAACACAATTGAAAATGCCTCACAATACTTTGTTTTCCATTGACAAGAAATAGGCCATGAAGGTGACACGCCTAATATACATGATAAAACCACATAATTGCACACAACGGAAATAATACATTGACCATATGTTTTCTTAGGACCGTGTGATTAGGCTTTTTTTTTTTTTAAATGAAAAAAATAAGAAAAAAGATAAAGCACAAGCTTAAATTATAACCTTAGCTTTTTCTCTCTTGAACTGAGGTTTATCCTTGATTTCCATCCGATTCTTTGTAGCAGTACTACTTTTAACTGCCTGAATATTTGTGGTCTGATATCCTGAATCTACATTTTCCATTATTTCAGTAATCGAATTGTTAGCTTCCTCGTCCGTCAGTCTATTCATCACCTTATGCTTCAATATCTTGTACTCTTTCTCAGTCATATGCAACCGTCCTTCTTCAGAAGTTTTGACATACTGTCGTTGAAATGCAGATGGGGATTCAAGAAAAAGAGCATTTCTGAGACCATATATGAGAGGCACACCAGGTACCTGATACAAGTATTTAAAAAGAATAATATGTAAGAAGGTACAATTCTTCACATCTTGCAGCCTTTAAAAGCATTATAGCACTTCAACAGATTTTAGACAAAAATATGCACAAGTTTTCTATTTTTTCTTTTGGTGAGAATATCACAACAAAGAGGTGCATAAAAATAATGATAATATATCATTTATAAGAAAATTAGGAACCAAATGAAACACATTAAAACTTAGAAATAAAAAAAATTATAGATGCCAAGGCATCAAGATGTTAAAGAAAATTCTATTCAACCGTTCTAATTAGAGACAACTATTCCAAATGGCTAAATCCGCAACCTCAGTACGAAGATGCTTCAGGCAAGGTGATGCAACACAGGGTATTGATTGAACGAGATTAGAAATGCGAGAGAGATAATAGTAAATGAGGTATTCATTGAGTCTGTGTCAAGAAGTATAAAAAATAAGTACCGGGATAAGGCAGACACTCTAGACAAGACAGTATCTTGTTTTACACACTTCAAATATCAACTATTTTCAAATAGTGTCACAATCTTGGATTTAAAGTAGTTCCACCTTCAAATTGGTTGTTTGGATAACTTCAAGATTATGTAAATGTCAACTAAACACTAAGCTCATCAAATGACCAATATTCCATATTCGGTAACATTATATTGTTGTTCAATTCAAATCCACCTCATTCCCACAAACCAAGATTTTCACACAAAGTTTTTCTCAGATAATGAGCCCGCTACAAAAAATCTAATACCAAGATAAATGTATTTTAAGTCCAATAGGAGAGATAATTATGATTGGATATTATACAAAAAATAATTCAACATTTATATAAAAAAATTACCATGATTACAAAGACAATACTAAAATGAAAAACGTATCTAATAATTGGAATCAACTTTTCAAACAAATAATATATGATGCAAACCTCTTGCAACTTTTTCCGGAGTTCAGTGTCCTGACTAGCAACAAAGAAATGTTCAGAATTGTTTTCTCCAACAACCTCCTTGATGCATACATCTGCACTCACACATTTATCATGCTCACATCTGCAAATTGGTTGGAGTCAAACATTTCAACAGACAAACCAGCAGTCAAAGTATTAAAATAACATCAAGTGCTCATCCTAACAAGTTTAGGATGAATTTAAAATATAAAAAAAAAAATACAGTGGTCAGAGAGTACAATTAATAATACTCTAACTATTATTCTGTATTGAAATTTTCATAAAAGCACCACATCCGTTATTTTTCTCGTGGACTCAAGTTCAAAGTAGAGTCAACGTCACTTTGACACTTCACAGAGTAGGGTCAACGTCCAAAGTCTCAGTTGTTTTAAAGAATGACCCTCCAACCTGCACTACATAAATTTTTCTTATAGAGTAGTGAGTTGGCTCATTTGGCCAGTTGGTTGTGGGCTCAAATCCAACCACAACCTCTTTACCTATGCTAGGGAAAGGCTGCATACAATTACCCTCTGACATTAGGGTACTAAAGTTAGTTAATTAGGTATGGAAGGGGGAGAGATAAGGACAAAATACCATGAAATTAAAATTAACTTAAATGATATGATATATTCCAACGCAATTATGATATGACCATTAGTCCTAAGAGAAAGGGGAAAATGGGAAACAGAATCTAAAGGATAATCTATACATTCTAATAGAATCAAATAATAATTTAAGTAGTAGAGTCTTGCATCCGCATTCCCAACGAGTATCAAATATTTTAGCTATTCCAGTCATTGTCCAGGGTATTTAATCCAAGGGTCTAGTTATGATAGAGAACTAGACCAAGGGTCTATTTAATCCAAGGGTTTAGTGACCAAAACAAGCATAAATCCAAACGGTCTGAGTTATTTGCATTCAGTTATCATTCATTGTGCATGAAATACATTCATTGAAACAGTAAAACTAATGAAACAATCCACATCACATCATATGTGCTAGAGCAGTGTAATTACCTAGCAACTATGAGTTTATGAGCCGCCTCCAGAGTCTCCGAATATGAGCTACCAAGTCGCTTCAACTCATCCAGAACACACCTGCATCATCTTCATAAAAAATCCCTAAGCAAAGTAAAAAACAAAAACAAAAAGATCCAATCCCAACAAAAACAATAACAATTTATAGAAATAAATCTTGACACAAAAAGAGAGAGGAACCTGGTAGTGTAGAGTTTGACAGTAGCACTGAGGATATTGCCAAGTGCGATGTCAGCAGGGGTTATTCGATTCACAAGAAGGTGGTGCACAAATGTCCCATCACATAAAACCTTGAAAGGCTTCCGAAAAGCAAAGCACGCAGTGTAAAAAGTCAAAGTTTTTCTATGTCTCTTCTGCTTTTTCACCTTCATCTGCAAAAATGCATCGAATCATGCTTCGAAAACAATAATTACCTCGGATATTAAACCATTAGTTTTGTAAGATTGAACCAAAGAAACAAAAAAAAAAAGGTTAATAAGCAAAAGGTAAGAATCGGAATAAGAGTAGAGATCACCAAATCATGTAACCAGACAACTTTTACTGCTTCTCTCGCCTATGGGATTGAAGTAGTGGGAAAAATGGAAAACTAAATCAAGTTAAAACTCTGCAAGTTTGAGAATTCAAAATCTAAGATGATAAAGATTCAGAGTCTCGCAAATGAATAAACTAGAGCGTTTTCATTGCCAATATCTCCACTTAAAACAGAAGAATAATATTAATTTGATCGAAAGAATCTCTGATTTCTTAAAACTGCAGACAGAATTTTGCTGAAGAAAAAAAAAAATTGCCCTGCAAAAAATCTGAATTCTTACGGGTGCACTTGAGTTTGCTTACATATATACCAATCTTAACGTGAACTAAATACAAAGCACCTACCCTTTGAATTACACGAAAGTCAAGACTTCACGTCATGAAACAAAACAAAACCCTAGAAGTGGCAGGTCACACACAGACGAAAAACTAAATACAATCAAACCACAAATGAAAATGAAATCCAAATAAAATCAAAGTAAATGCGAAAAAACTCTATCTGATCGTGGGCAAGTGATAATCGAATGCCAAACACGATTTATACTGAACCTATGAAAATCAATACCGAACTTGTGAAAATCGTAAACAGAGAGCGTATGAGTTGTGAGTGAGCGTGAGTGAGAGTGAGTTGGGAGCGAAAACAACAAGAAACAAGAATGAGAGTGAGCGCACTGAGACCAGATTTCAAAGATGTAGTGAGAAGGTGAAAATTCTAAAGTAAGTAGAATGCATTGCAGAAACTTGCAAAATTATGAATTACACAGCAATATTTATGACAAATACATATTTGATACTTCAAAATTCATAATCTAAATGCCAAATAAAAAATGAAATACAGCATCGTATGCAACAATGTTCCAATAGCGAAAAGGTAAAAAGGAAAGCCTAACAAATGGTAAATGCCAATAAAACTACTGGCAAATCTTCCTGAGAAGGATAGTACTCATCTCAATGAATCTTCATATAAAAAACGTGAAGAAAAGCATATTTCCATGAGTATTCCTGAATAAATTTACCTAATAAGTTGCTTCCGAAGTACAATAGAAAAGAGACAAAGAGACTGAAACTTGAATCTTCCGAAGTGCAGAAGATTCGGTATGGTTCTAGCAGCAATAATAGAAAAAACCTCGCGATGAGCCTGTAGGTTGAGTTTTTGCTACTGTGTTTCCAATTGAAAGTATTGTATTTACTCATGAACACTTCATAATAATAAAAAAATGTTCCAAAGGTTTCAATAATTTTCAATAACTGTTAATTGAATGAATATAAAAATAATTTATATTTATCATTACGTATCTTTTTTTTATTTATTTATCATATAAGATTATCTCATAAAAAATTACATTAGAATTTTATATGTATTAATAATATTAGTAGTTTATGATAATTTTCAATAGAAATATTTAAATAAAATGAAAATATAGGCTATCAATTTTGATTAAATAAATATTTAAGATTAAAATATTTAAAAAGTGTTTTACGATTTAAATACATAAAGCAAATATATAAAAAATTAATAAAATGATTATAATTACTTTAAAAAATAATCTATATTTTATTTTTTTTGTAAGAAAAAATATTATTCATAGGAAAACTACAAATAGATTGTAGATTTCCAGTAAATTTTAAAATATTATAAAGTTTATTTACCAATTGTTTTTTCCAAAAAAATATGCATTAAAAACTTTAAAAAATCAGCAACTTTTCTTGCTTCTTTTAATCCGCGAAATCAAATAAATAATAGTAACACTAATGTAAAATTCACCAGAATTTTATACAAAATATTTTTGCAAGATAATTGATAAAAAATTCTTATAAATTAATATGCATAGCAAAAATTATAAGTATTTCTTGACTAAAAGTTTTACACAAAAAAAGTTGACAAGAAATATACAAGTACAAAAAAGAGTTATCAACCTAGAGATTTTCATAGTATAACATATTGATGTTAAGTATGTTTTCTGAAATGATTTCACTGTTTGAATTCTCTTGGTTTCGTAATTTTGAAGTAAATCATTAAAGAAATAAATAATCATGTCATAAAATTATAAGTTTTGTTCCAATATATTCAATAATATATTTAAGAGTTAGGACATATGATAAGTTAAAATAATTTTTTTTCCTCCTATTCTTTATATGTATTTAAGAATAAAAGGATCAAACTTCAAAACAGACAAAAAAAATTAAGTAAGATAAGAATTAAGAATGTAAAATATTGATTGTATACATAAGAGATATTGTACAAATTAAATCTGAAATTATAAAAGGGTCAAACTTCAAACAGACAATAAAAAAAGTAAGATAAGAATTTAAGAATGTAAAATATTTATTGTATACATAAGAGATAGTGTAGAAATTAAATCTGAAATTATAAATTATAGGAATATATAGCTGAGATATGGAAGATAAACCTGTCATTTTAAATAATAAGAATGTATGATATAGATATGTAATTCTAAAGTATAGGAATACAAACTTATTAATTATTCTAATAATTGTTAATTTCAATCATAACTAATTTCATTATCTATTAAAAAATTACTCACAATAAAATTCTAAATAAAATTACTTTTGTAATATTTTTTATTTTAATATTGACTATAATAATTATTTTATTATCCTAAAAACGTGGATATAGAGCTCATATTGTCTATTATTCCACTAATATATAATAGTTTTTATTTTTCAATTTTTTTATTTAAATAAGTTTTGCCTTTTCTTTTTCTGAAATTAAGAACTATGAAGGAAACATGTCGTGCAACATTTTCTCAAATTATATTCTTTTTCACTTTTCCTTTCCCTCCACGCCCACTCTCGGACCAAACGATATTAAAGTTTGCAACCCAAACTGATCGCTCCAACTTCAACTTTTGCGACAACCACTCCTTTCTCACTAAACATTCTCAGGTACTCTTTTTTCGCTCTCTTAAACTCATACAAATTATTCGTATGCTTCTGCTTCTCTTTCTTGTCCGCAATCACAGTTTTTGCTCCTCAAAACCCTAATACCATTCACGGAGTTGACTTCGTTTGAATTTCCCTGTTCTTGTACTTTGATTTCACTGCTAAAACTCTTTATACCCCGATTTTGCCCTAGATTGTTCATTGTAACAGTATGTTTTGTGGTTTGGAAGTCAAATTGTATTGATTTTTGAATTTCCATTTGAACTAGTACGTGTGGAGGATTCGGTCATTTCATCTCTGACTCTGTGATAGCTGCAGTGACTTCCTATGAATATGCTTAATTATATTTTTTTTAATGCTATCGTGATTGATAGTTCCTTGTCTTCTGTTTTATAAAAAAACCGTTGTTGTGACTCAAGGAAGCGTGTACAGTACTGTGGCGTGGTTGTAATGTGATTGTGCTTATGGAATTTTTTTCATTTGCTTTTGTAGTTGCGGGTAAAAGTACGGTTATGACACTTTGAACATGTACATCAAACAGGTAATTTAATTTTGGAGTTTGTTTATTTAATTCACTTTTCACGGTGAGATAAAGTATATTAGATTTGACTAGATTCTGTTTTGTATTATGATTCATAAACACTTCCTCTGTCACAGATACCACATATTATGCTAATATTTGCTTGTTTGTGCTTTTAGGTTGTGATCGAAGGTTTTAAGAGTTATCGAGAGCAAATTTCCACAGAGCCTTTCAGCTCTAAAGTGAACTGTGTTGGTAATAATTTTATTGACAATTTTTTAGATCCTATCTTCTATTGATTCTGGAAACTCTTCGGCATGTATGATGTGGGCATTTCATTCGTAACATGTTATGATGACAGCGAAATGCAACATGTAAATCAACATAAAAAGGTGTTTGGTCGATTCTTATTTGAATTCAGACATATTTTCTTAGACTACGTAATAAGGTAGATATAATAATAGTTCATATTTATCATCAAAATTAGTAAATTATTTATTGTTGCAAATATACATATAATAGTACTTATTAGTAGATATCTAAGAAAGAAGGTTATTCGTCAATACTGTGATGAAAGACTACCCATAAAAAAAGTGAAGGATATGTAAGAAGAATTTTATTGTAAAACTGATAACAATGTTATGATTCGGTAGTACTTGATTATTAGCTGATACGTTCTCACACCAAGGTAAAGGGCACATGCGGTATTTTTGGCATAAATGCATTATTTGCTCTCTTCATTACCTTCCTTTTCATTACTTCCTTAGTTTTTTCAACTCTTACACATCATTCCTTTTTCTTAAATTATATTTTAAAGATGAACATCATCTTTTCTTTCAGCTCAAATGATGAACGCATCTAAATTGTATTTATTTGTAATTTAATATATCTGTTAATTTTTTATTTTTGCAGTTGGTGCTAATGGATCTGGGAAGACAAACTTTTTTCATGGTAAAAAATGATCACCGTTTCTTCCGTGTGCAATTTGGAAGTAACTACAGCCAAATCTCTGATCTTCACTTTGCTACACCTTTTTTTTTCTTTTGTAGCCATCCGTTTTGTATTAAGTGATCTCTTTCAAAACCTACGTGGTGAAGATCGACAGGCACTACTCCATGTATGTCACACTTCATCCATTATTTATACTTGTAGTTGTCGCCTATAAATAATCACCTATAGATTTTGAATATGCTTAAATAAATTATTCTTTGTGCACAGGAAGGAGCTGGACACCAAGTTTTATCTGCTTTTGTGGAGATTGTCTTTGATAATTCAGACAACCGTATCCCGGTAATATGTTGAGGATAATAACTTGTTATTCTAGTGATCAATATCATGATTTCATATTTATTTGATGGTGCATATTTTGTACTAGCTGAGAAGTAATACAATTAATGACGTGATTTGCTGTGTTTTTTGTTTCACAGAGCTTCTACACCACAATTTCAATTAAATAACCTTTTCAGCTTAAACTGTAAAATTTTGTTAGTGGTTGTTGATGTAATAATTGCACTGCTTTGAACTGATTCCCTTTTACTTTTTTGTCAGACCAAATGTGCTTTATTTTTTGTGGCAATAGTGATTTTTGCTTGATAAAATATGCTCTATCTTAGCATCTATCTGTGTTGGGTGAATAGGTTGACAAGGAGGAAGTGCGATTGCGTCNAATTATATTCTTTTTCACTTTTCCTTTCCCTCCACGCCCACTCTCGGACCAAACGATATTAAAGTTTGCAACCCAAACTGATCGCTCCAACTTCAACTTTTGCGACAACCACTCCTTTCTCACTAAACATTCTCAGGTACTCTTTTTTCGCTCTCTTAAACTCATACAAATTATTCGTATGCTTCTGCTTCTCTTTCTTGTCCGCAATCACAGTTTTTGCTCCTCAAAACCCTAATACCATTCACGGAGTTGACTTCGTTTGAATTTCCCTGTTCTTGTACTTTGATTTCACTGCTAAAACTCTTTATACCCCGATTTTGCCCTAGATTGTTCATTGTAACAGTATGTTTTGTGGTTTGGAAGTCAAATTGTATTGATTTTTGAATTTCCATTTGAACTAGTACGTGTGGAGGATTCGGTCATTTCATCTCTGACTCTGTGATAGCTGCAGTGACTTCCTATGAATATGCTTAATTATATTTTTTTTAATGCTATCGTGATTGATAGTTCCTTGTCTTCTGTTTTATAAAAAAACCGTTGTTGTGACTCAAGGAAGCGTGTACAGTACTGTGGCGTGGTTGTAATGTGATTGTGCTTATGGAATTTTTTTCATTTGCTTTTGTAGTTGCGGGTAAAAGTACGGTTATGACACTTTGAACATGTACATCAAACAGGTAATTTAATTTTGGAGTTTGTTTATTTAATTCACTTTTCACGGTGAGATAAAGTATATTAGATTTGACTAGATTCTGTTTTGTATTATGATTCATAAACACTTCCTCTGTCACAGATACCACATATTATGCTAATATTTGCTTGTTTGTGCTTTTAGGTTGTGATCGAAGGTTTTAAGAGTTATCGAGAGCAAATTTCCACAGAGCCTTTCAGCTCTAAAGTGAACTGTGTTGGTAATAATTTTATTGACAATTTTTTAGATCCTATCTTCTATTGATTCTGGAAACTCTTCGGCATGTATGATGTGGGCATTTCATTCGTAACATGTTATGATGACAGCGAAATGCAACATGTAAATCAACATAAAAAGGTGTTTGGTCGATTCTTATTTGAATTCAGACATATTTTCTTAGACTACGTAATAAGGTAGATATAATAATAGTTCATATTTATCATCAAAATTAGTAAATTATTTATTGTTGCAAATATACATATAATAGTACTTATTAGTAGATATCTAAGAAAGAAGGTTATTCGTCAATACTGTGATGAAAGACTACCCATAAAAAAAGTGAAGGATATGTAAGAAGAATTTTATTGTAAAACTGATAACAATGTTATGATTCGGTAGTACTTGATTATTAGCTGATACGTTCTCACACCAAGGTAAAGGGCACATGCGGTATTTTTGGCATAAATGCATTATTTGCTCTCTTCATTACCTTCCTTTTCATTACTTCCTTAGTTTTTTCAACTCTTACACATCATTCCTTTTTCTTAAATTATATTTTAAAGATGAACATCATCTTTTCTTTCAGCTCAAATGATGAACGCATCTAAATTGTATTTATTTGTAATTTAATATATCTGTTAATTTTTTATTTTTGCAGTTGGTGCTAATGGATCTGGGAAGACAAACTTTTTTCATGGTAAAAAATGATCACCGTTTCTTCCGTGTGCAATTTGGAAGTAACTACAGCCAAATCTCTGATCTTCACTTTGCTACACCTTTTTTTTTCTTTTGTAGCCATCCGTTTTGTATTAAGTGATCTCTTTCAAAACCTACGTGGTGAAGATCGACAGGCACTACTCCATGTATGTCACACTTCATCCATTATTTATACTTGTAGTTGTCGCCTATAAATAATCACCTATAGATTTTGAATATGCTTAAATAAATTATTCTTTGTGCACAGGAAGGAGCTGGACACCAAGTTTTATCTGCTTTTGTGGAGATTGTCTTTGATAATTCAGACAACCGTATCCCGGTAATATGTTGAGGATAATAACTTGTTATTCTAGTGATCAATATCATGATTTCATATTTATTTGATGGTGCATATTTTGTACTAGCTGAGAAGTAATACAATTAATGACGTGATTTGCTGTGTTTTTTGTTTCACAGAGCTTCTACACCACAATTTCAATTAAATAACCTTTTCAGCTTAAACTGTAAAATTTTGTTAGTGGTTGTTGATGTAATAATTGCACTGCTTTGAACTGATTCCCTTTTACTTTTTTGTCAGACCAAATGTGCTTTATTTTTTGTGGCAATAGTGATTTTTGCTTGATAAAATATGCTCTATCTTAGCATCTATCTGTGTTGGGTGAATAGGTTGACAAGGAGGAAGTGCGATTGCGTCGGACTATTGGTTTAAAAAAGGATGAGTATTTTCTTGATGGAAAACACATAACGTGAGTTAAATAGAGCAATGTGTCAAATGTAGTTTGCTTTTATTTTTACTATTGAGAAAAATTACCTATTTTATCTTATTTTATTTGGTCATATGAGTATTTACTCTGATTCTAAGCATCATATACTATCTGCAGGAAAACTGAAGTGATGAACTTGCTGGAGAGTGCTGGGTTCTCCCGTTCAAATCCTTATTATGTTGTACAACAAGGAAAGGTATTGGCTCTTGGTGGCAGTACTTGAATTTGGTTTGGGGTTTATTGTTGTTATATTCAAACACTTTGAAGTTGATTTCTAAACTTGTTCCATTTATATATTGTGTAGATAGCATCATTAACCTTGATGAAAGACTCTGAACGACTGGACTTGCTGAAGGAAATAGGTGGTACTAGAGTTTATGAGGAGAGGCGCCGTGAAAGTTTGAAAATAATGCAGGAAACTGGCAAGTTCATGATTTTATTTTAAGTTTATGATTTATCTAGTCTTTCCTATTTATTTATCATTCAGTTTTTGAGTTCATGATTTCTAATCTACGTATAATGATAGGGTTATTCTTCTAAAGTTACCACATGACACTTTCTCATAATTTTCTTTTCTAAATTCTGGAGTTAAGAAATGGATTATGATTTTTAATGAAATATCATATTCTTACACACACACATCAAATAAAGAACAATGAATATATACATTAACATAATGTCCATTTAGTACTTTCTTTACTTAGCTGTAGATTAATACTTGCCAGACCTGACAAATTTTACAAGTTTATTATAAAACTGAATTGTTGTGTAGATATGATTAGTATCAGCTAGTTAGTACACTAGTGGAAACACATGCACTATGCCCATGTGTGTCCACTTTTTTCTTATTATAGCAAAATCTTTATTAAACTATAAAATGATTTTTAATTATTGGAATAAAAAATATTAATAAACTATAAAATAAATTTCACAAAAAGGTAATTATAAAAATAAATTATTCTTATAATTCTATTATAGGTAATTATTTTATTGTGTAAATGGTTTTTTTATTATGAGTAATTATTCGAATTCAAAAAAGTAGTTACTAAAAGGGTAAAACTGAAAAAGTTTTGGACATCAAAAAGGAGAATACCCTTTATTAATGGTATAGATACAAATTCTTGAAAGTTTCAATAGAAGAATTTGATAATTTATTTTATTATACTTGATTTTTATATTCGTAATGTATTTGAATTTTATTTTTACGAGGCATTGACAAAAGAAACACATTGAGAACTTGTTTGATTCAATGCTAGCATATGTGTCTGCATTTTTTAATAATCTGGCTTATAACTTTCTATATATATATATATATATATATATATTATTTTCTATTTTATGTGATTTTATTTATGTGAAAATATGATGATTAAATATATATTTTATTCTACATTTTATTGAAGTTATGTTATAATAAAAGGTTTAATTATATAGAATCAAACATTCTAAACTTATAAAGCTTAATTGTACGGAGGATTCCCACTACATGTTAGTCTCTTTGCTATTTCTTATTTTTTCTCCACCATATTTTATTTTATTTTTTGCTTTTTTACATCGGTTTTGAATTTTGCATTGTGACTTAAAAATTATTAGAAGTAAAATAGGAAAACAATATATGTACACCAAATGGGGGATAACCGTTATATATTATTATAGATTATTGGCAAATGAGGGAATCCCCATTATATATTGTTATAGATTAAATTGTTTTTATGTAATTTTCATGTATATTGTAAATTATTTATTCAATGCAATAAGATTTTTTTTTTGAAACAACTCAAAAGTAGTGAAGGTTAATTAAACTGTTAGTTGCATTTGAATGTATTCAAAATTTTCTATCTTTGAGTTTAGAACTAATTGTAGTTATAATGTTAAAATTATGATCAATCAAATGGATTGTAAAATAAAATTTTGTTAATTTATTTGAATTAAATTGATTACTATTAATTAATGAATAAATATATTCATTGGTTTAAAGTATCCTGATGGGATGAGAGTAAAAAGAGATTTTAATAGCCTTCAAATTCTTACCTTTAAATTTCTTTCGACGAAATTCAATTTAAATTAAGTTTGATTAGATTAATACGTTTTTTTACTTGTGAAAAGAATTCTTTGGTTTAGGCTAGGGAGACATAATTTATTTTTTAATCAATCATTTCATATGTATGTATATATGTGTATATGTATGCATGTACGTGTGTACTTGATGTAATATGAAAATTATAGTAAATTATAAATTAAATTTTCAAACTTAATACTTTAACATTTTTTTAGGAATGAAACGTTAATTTTCTATTTGCTTGATAATTATATATGTGAAAAAGAAATAACTAATACATCAAGATCAATAAAAGTGGCTAGGTTAGTTTTTCGATTAATGATAGCATAAATTCAATTTTTATTCCAAGTATACCCTTATTGTTAAATGTTTGATGTAGTGAGTGCCCTACTTTTTATATAGAATAAGTGAATACCTAATAAATGAACTTTACAATAAATTATGGGAATAAGAGAAATTTAATACCAGGTAGGTTTGAAAACGAGTCATTGTTTCTTTGACATAGAAAAACATCTTTAGTTTCTTGTACATATGGCCAGAGGTAGCATTAATTTAATCCTCTAAGAATTGCTATTAAGTTCTTCCAATAAGGAATTAAAAGGTGTATAAAATATTATTTTGATTTGTAATAATTAGATTAAAGAACTATTTTTATTATGTGAGAGACATTTTATATTGTAAGTTTATAACTGAATAATTTAGTATGAAGTTTTTAAGATTCCAAACACATATTTTAGTATTTTAGGATTATGCATTAAAATATATTTATATTAAAAATAAAAAAATTGGGCTAATATCATCATTGTTAGTAAATAATGGATAATATGAAAATAAAGTATCACATTGTAGTGTTTATTACAACTTATAGTGTTTATTATTCCTGTTATTCTCATGCATTTTTCTGTTATACAGGTAACAAAAGAAAGCAAATAATCCAAGTTGTACAGTATTTAGATGAAAGGCTGAAAGAACTAGATGAGGAAAAGGAGGAACTTAGAAAATATCAACAGCTTGACAAACAAAGAAAATCATTAGAATATGCTATTTTTAGCAAAGAAGTTCAAGATGCTCAGCAGAAACTTACAGAGGTTACGGGTTAATTGTTATCTCATAATTATTTGCACAATTTCTTACTGTTGGACTTATTGGTTTTTTATTTTTGGTGATTATTCTTTTGGCTTGGTTCTTCAAAATCACAAGTATATAACTAAAGATAAGACAATGAAAGTTTAAATAAATTATTATGGATATGCCAATTTATGTTTTCATGAGTGTGCCTCTCTGCAATCATGGATTGTCACCGAGGATTGGAAAGAACAAAAGGAAGGTGCCAACTTTTGATAACTAAAAAGTCTAAATAGGATGTGAATTACTAATAGAAAGAGTACCTTTTCAATGGGCAATGGGCCAGGTTGAATCATCATCACTAGGAGCCATGGTTTTGATTGATGATTGAGAAGAACTTGAGGAAGAGGATTCATTTGGAGCATTGGACTGGTCTCGGGTGAGAGGAAGGTGGCATGTGAGTGTCACGGGACCAACAATGTTTGAAAAGTGAGGAGTGGAACAAGCTTCTGGGACCGATTGGGTTGGTTGTTATCTAAAGAGACGCTCTAGATCCCGTGGACACAGGAGAAATCTGAGATAGTGGCCGACAGCGAACAATGGACACAATGCCGAAAAGACTGTGATTAGCAAAGTGGGATCAACCTGCTTTGGTATCAACTTAAGATAAATAAATGAGAAATAAAAGAGACAATGCATTTTATAGTGCTGGAAATCATCTCTTATGATCTCATATTTATAACCATAGAATTTTGGTGCAATGAGAAGAAGGAAGATTTAAGATGAAAAGTATGAACTATAACCTCGGTACTGAACTAGGTACAATTTATTTGTGTAGCAGGTAGTAGTTTCCAGTACAACTACTTCATGTTTAATACTTATTCTAATATTACCCTTAAATAAACTATACCTATTTATCTAAACGATGTTTGAACAGTTCTCATTTAAGAAATATGTCAGAATAATTTTTAGATGGAAATATATGTATAAAACATGATATAAATATTGGAATGCTAATATATGCTTATCAACATTCTTGAAAATGATCTAAACTCAAACAAATGTCTCCATATTATAATTTTGTGTGTGGGTTTGGGTACTTTGCTACAGACTCGTGTTGGGTATCGAAATGACATGTTAGATTGGGTTATGTGTTCGGTACAATTATAAACACAAGTGTTTGTAAACTGTGTGCCGAATATTAATATTTCAAATGTATACTATAAATAACTAATAATAATAATATAATATTATTGGAGTAGGCTAACATCTGTAAGTCACTTTTTGTACTGAGAACATTTTTATTTTTACTGTGAAAATAGTTTTCTGATGATAGAGCTTCGAGTTTGAATAAATGATGATGACCAATAGAGGAAATCTTGTAAACAGTGAAAATAAAATTATAACATGAAAGTTAAATTAGAAAACTTTGGTTAAGATAATCACATATGGTCTAGAGGGTTGTGACATGCAGAACTGTTGTCGAACTCAACTTTTCCTCCAATTTCAAATTTCCTTCTTTTCATTTTCCTCTGATTCCTTTCTGCTTTCCTTCTCCTTTTATTCCCAAGTCATCCACCTCACGGAAAACCCTAACTTCTACACAATTGGTGTTCTGGCAGTTGTCCACTGTGCTATTTCACTTTCTATCTTTTGATTTCTCAATTTGACCCTGGGGTCCATTCATAATTGCCTTGATATCCCTGGCTCCTCTTTCTTGCTATAAATACTGGTAAAAGGCCTGCTATATACTTGATACAATTATTTGGAGTTTATAGTTGTACACTTTTATTTTCTCTGCTGATTCTTATGTCAATCATAATATTGAGTGTCAAATATTTATTGTTCAGACATTTTTAATCCCTTTTCTGTTATTCTGATTTCTATAATTGAATGCTTGTCACCTTGTTTTAGATAGAAGATGTTCGGGCCAAGGTTTCTGAAACATCAGCAAAAAAGTATAATGATGTTCTTGATGCCCATGAGAAATCCAAAGATTTAGAGAATACATTAAAAGATGTATCAAAAGAACTTCAAAACTTTAACAAAGAAAAAGAAGCTATTGAAAAGCGACGAACAGTTGCATTAAAGAAGCACACAGAACTTGAGCTTGATGTCAAAGACTTGCAAGAGAAGAACTCTGGAAACATCCGAGCCAAGGTACTAATTTGAAGAAGACCTTTTGTGAGTTGTTTTTGATGGGATTGTTTTGTACATGGCTCATCTTTTTCTTACATGCTTTCAGGAAGATGCTGCAAGACAACTGGAGATACTTGAGAAAGAAATTCAAGATTCAACCATTGAACTGGGCAAAATCATTCCCTTACATGAGGATCAAATTCAGAAAGAAAAAGACATTGCCATGCAGTATGTTTATGGTTGAATGTATCGTTTATTTGCTTGAATCAGCTCACTGTATCTAATCTAACTCTCCTAGTTTATTGTCTTTGACTCTTTAACATGGTAGTTACATATTTTAGTGCACTCTATTATACTGGAATAATCTTATCTCTTTTAGTGTCTCATTTAGCTATAATCTTGGATTAGGTAGGATATAGGACAGTAAAATATATTTTTTAATCTTTAACATGCTTGTACTGCTTTCAACAAAAGAAATATAATAGTGAAAGCCATTTGAAGATGGGACTGGGGAAATATTATATTTGAAGAGTTAGCACAAGAAACGGAATTATAAATTATACACCTAGCAGAAAGAGAAACTTGAGAATGTGGATGCTAATGTAGATTTGAAAACTGGTTCAAGCCATCAGCATGACACTTGAAAAATACAGTTGTCTTCGGAAAATTTACTCACTAGGTTTTTTGTTATAAGCAAATTATGTAATTGGAGTACGACCGTAAGTTTAAGATGGGAGGGAAAGTAAGAACAGAAGGAGGTAATATGCTGACCATGTCTATTACTAATGTGAATCTGGTCCTTTCCTTATAAAGGATCCAAGTTGATATGATGTGAGGCACCTTAGGGGACCAGGCTGTGCTGGTCGCAGGGCTGGAGTTACTGATATTGACGCGGGGTTTCTTATGTTTTTGGGAGACCCAAGTAATGCAAGATTCTGAAATAATACAGGATTGTTTATGTGTTAGCATTTTGAGGCAATATGACCATATTTGAAGCATACTTTGCATTGCATGTTAGCGAAGTTACTGCAATAATGACTGCAAGAATTACAATCTCTGACCTCTTAGAGGTGGTTGTGACTAGGAGAATTGGACAGTGCTCGAGTAAGATGAACTTTAGCAAATCATATAGAACTTCCTGGAAAAACTTCTGAAGTTGCATTTAATGAGCAAGAATAACACATTGATTTCTTCAATAGGAAGAGGTTTACACTTGCTTCTGACAATTGAAATATGTTCTTGAAGTGAAATTGGATCGCAATTGAAGCAAGCGCATCAGCAAGCATTTTGATGTGAAGGAGAGTGTTGTAGATTGCAGTTCTGTATGCAGCTGTGTACTTTTGTGCATTGCTTTTGAAAAAAGTCAAGAATTTTATCCTTAACATGATATGCATTGCTCACTAAAAGGCTTGTGAGAGAAGGGAACTATAAAGTGAAGACTGAAACCGTGATAAGAGTATTTTCTGCTGTTGTTAGGCTTTGTACACTGGACTAACTTTTGCAACGTTGCAGTTGGCTTCACTCAGAAATCAGAAATGAATCTTAGTCACTTAGAAATGTTGATTCAACATTCTTGAAGTCATTTAGCCTGGCTTATAGGTTCTACTTGTTGTTGGCATAGGAGAAAATTCTTGTCATTAAGTTTCTTTGAGATCGAGTGCGGGAGACATTTTTTGAGGAAGAAGATAGAGTAGAGTATACTGCCATCAGGATATTGGTTCCCAACTGTGTCAAAGTTTACAAAGAGTATTTCATTCTCTTAGCGTTCTGTTACAAGTTAAAACAGAGATTATATAACTCAATGTCACNTATATAGAATAAGTGAATACCTAATAAATGAACTTTACAATAAATTATGGGAATAAGAGAAATTTAATCAGGTAGGTTTGAAAACGAGTCATTGTTTCTTTGACATAGAAAAGCATCTTTAGTTTCTTGTACATATGGCCAGAGGTAGCATTAATTTAATCCTCTAAGAATTGCTATTAAGTTCTTCCAATAAGGAATTAAAAGGTGTATAAAATATTATTTTGATTTGTAATAATTAGATTAAAGAACTATTTTTATTATGTGAGAGACATTTTATATTGTAAGTTTATAACTGAATAATTTAGTATGAAGTTTTTAAGATTCCAAACACATATTTTAGTATTTTAGGATTATGCATTAAAATATATTTATATTAAAAATAAAAAAATTGGGCTAATATCATCATTGTTAGTAAATAATGGATAATATGAAAATAAAGTATCACATTGTAGTGTTTATTACAACTTATAGTGTTTATTATTCCTGTTATTCTCATGCATTTTTCTGTTATACAGGTAACAAAAGAAAGCAAATAATCCAAGTTGTACAGTATTTAGATGAAAGGCTGAAAGAACTAGATGAGGAAAAGGAGGAACTTAGAAAATATCAACAGCTTGACAAACAAAGAAAATCATTAGAATATGCTATTTTTAGCAAAGAAGTTCAAGATGCTCAGCAGAAACTTACAGAGGTTACGGGTTAATTGTTATCTCATAATTATTTGCACAATTTCTTACTGTTGGACTTATTGGTTTTTTATTTTTGGTGATTATTCTTTTGGCTTGGTTCTTCAAAATCACAAGTATATAACTAAAGATAAGACAATGAAAGTTTAAATAAATTATTATGGATATGCCAATTTATGTTTTCATGAGTGTGCCTCTCTGCAATCATGGATTGTCACCGAGGATTGGAAAGAACAAAAGGAAGGTGCCAACTTTTGATAACTAAAAAGTCTAAATAGGATGTGAATTACTAATAGAAAGAGTACCTTTTCAATGGGCAATGGGCCAGGTTGAATCATCATCACTAGGAGCCATGGTTTTGATTGATGATTGAGAAGAACTTGAGGAAGAGGATTCATTTGGAGCATTGGACTGGTCTCGGGTGAGAGGAAGGTGGCATGTGAGTGTCACGGGACCAACAATGTTTGAAAAGTGAGGAGTGGAACAAGCTTCTGGGACCGATTGGGTTGGTTGTTATCTAAAGAGACGCTCTAGATCCCGTGGACACAGGAGAAATCTGAGATAGTGGCCGACAGCGAACAATGGACACAATGCCGAAAAGACTGTGATTAGCAAAGTGGGATCAACCTGCTTTGGTATCAACTTAAGATAAATAAATGAGAAATAAAAGAGACAATGCATTTTATAGTGCTGGAAATCATCTCTTATGATCTCATATTTATAAACATAGAATTTTGGTGCAATGAGAAGAAGGAAGATTTAAGATGAAAAGTATGAACTATAACCTCGGTACTGAACTAGGTACAATTTATTTGTGTAGCAGGTAGTAGTTTCCAGTACAACTACTTCATGTTTAATACTTATTCTAATATTACCCTTAAATAAACTATACCTATTTATCTAAACGATGTTTGAACAGTTCTCATTTAAGAAATATGTCAGAATAATTTTTAGATGGAAATATATGTATAAAACATGATATAAATATTGGAATGCTAATTGTTAGATATATTATATCTTTTATCTTTTAGTTAGTTTGTTATTATTTCTCATTTGTATTTTGGGCTTAGCCCATATTTCTTCTATTATAAATAGAGAACCCTATGTGTGTATTTTACACAAGGGAGATTAATTCAAATATAGTTTTTCACTCTATTCAACACTAATATATGCTTATCAACATTCTTGAAAATGATCTAAACTCAAACAAATGTCTCCATATTATAATTTTGTGTGTGGGTTTGGGTACTTTGCTACAGACTCGTGTTGGGTATCGAAATGACATGTTAGATTGGGTTATGTGTTCGGTACAATTATAAACACAAGTGTTTGTAAACTGTGTGCCGAATATTAATATTTCAAATGTATACTATAAATAACTAATAATAATAATATAATATTATTGGAGTAGGCTAACATCTGTAAGTCACTTTTTGTACTGAGAACATTTTTATTTTTACTGTGAAAATAGTTTTCTGATGATAGAGCTTCGAGTTTGAATAAATGATGATGACCAATAGAGGAAATCTTGTAAACAGTGAAAATAAAATTATAACATGAAAGTTAAATTAGAAAACTTTGGTTAAGATAATCACATATGGTCTAGAGGGTTGTGACATGCAGAACTGTTGTCGAACTCAACTTTTCCTCCAATTTCAAATTTCCTTCTTTTCATTTTCCTCTGATTCCTTTCTGCTTTCCTTCTCCTTTTATTCCCAAGTCATCCACCTCACGGAAAACCCTAACTTCTACACAATTGGTGTTCTGGCAGTTGTCCACTGTGCTATTTCACTTTCTATCTTTTGATTTCTCAATTTGACCCTGGGGTCCATTCATAATTGCCTTGATATCCCTGGCTCCTCTTTCTTGCTATAAATACTGGTAAAAGGCCTGCTATATACTTGATACAATTATTTGGAGTTTATAGTTGTACACTTTTATTTTCTCTGCTGATTCTTATGTCAATCATAATATTGAGTGTCAAATATTTATTGTTCAGACATTTTTAATCCCTTTTCTGTTATTCTGATTTCTATAATTGAATGCTTGTCACCTTGTTTTAGATAGAAGATGTTCGGGCCAAGGTTTCTGAAACATCAGCAAAAAAGTATAATGATGTTCTTGATGCCCATGAGAAATCCAAAGATTTAGAGAATACATTAAAAGATGTATCAAAAGAACTTCAAAACTTTAACAAAGAAAAAGAAGCTATTGAAAAGCGACGAACAGTTGCATTAAAGAAGCACACAGAACTTGAGCTTGATGTCAAAGACTTGCAAGAGAAGAACTCTGGAAACATCCGAGCCAAGGTACTAATTTGAAGAAGACCTTTTGTGAGTTGTTTTTGATGGGATTGTTTTGTACATGGCTCATCTTTTTCTTACATGCTTTCAGGAAGATGCTGCAAGACAACTGGAGATACTTGAGAAAGAAATTCAAGATTCAACCATTGAACTGGGCAAAATCATTCCCTTACATGAGGATCAAATTCAGAAAGAAAAAGACATTGCCATGCAGTATGTTTATGGTTGAATGTATCGTTTATTTGCTTGAATCAGCTCACTGTATCTAATCTAACTCTCCTAGTTTATTGTCTATGACTCTTTAACATGGTAGTTACATATTTTAGTGCACTCTATTATACTGGAATAATCTTATCTCTTTTAGTGTCTCATTTAGCTATAATCTTGGATTAGGTAGGATATAGGACAGTAAAATATATTTTTTAATCTTTAACATGCTTGTACTGCTTTCAACAAAAGAAATATAATAGTGAAAGCCATTTGAAGATGGGACTGGGGAAATATTATATTTGAAGAGTTAGCACAAGAAACGGAATTATAAATTATACACCTAGCAGAAAGAGAAACTTGAGAATGTGGATGCTAATGTAGATTTGAAAACTGGTTCAAGCCATCAGCATGACACTTGAAAAATACAGTTGTCTTCGGAAAATTTACTCACTAGGTTTTTTGTTATAAGCAAATTATGTAATTGGAGTACGACAGTAAGTTTAAGATGGGAGGGAAAGTAAGAACAGAAGGAGGTAATATGCTGACCATGTCTATTACTAATGTGAATCTGGTCCTTTCCTTATAAAGGATCCAAGTTGATATGATGTGAGGCACCTTAGGGGACCAGGCTGTGCTGGTCGCAGGGCTGGAGTTACTGATATTGACGCGGGGTTTCTTATGTTTTTGGGAGACCCAAGTAATGCAAG